TGCCCTGCTGGGTTTTTCTCGCCAGCACTTGCCGAATTTCTGCCCTGAAAAGCCTCCCCCCCAAACTCAGTTTAAAGCTCTCCTGATCAGATTTGTGACCCTCTTAGCAAAAACAGTACTGCCAACAGCTGTGAGGTGCACCCCATCCCCTGCCAAAAGACGATCTTTGTGAAATAGCAGACCATGGTCCAAGAGGCCAATTCATTCCTTGTGGCACCATCTGTGGAGCCAGTTGTTCATCTCCATTATTCTTCTCTCCCTTCGTGGGCCATGTCCTTCAACAGGGAGGAGAAATGAGGTTACAACCTGTGCACCCAGGTCTTTCAGCTTCCTACCCATATCCTCACAATCCTTTCTGATGTCCTGGAAGTGGTGCCTTGCAGTGTCATTGGTTCTCACATGAACCAAAAGGAAGGAGTAAGAGTCAGTGGGCTTAATGAGTCTTGTCACTCTCTCTGTTACATCATGAATTTTGGCTCCAGGGAGACAGCACACCTCACGATTCATCTTGTCAGGCTTGCAGATTGTGGCTTCTGTTCCTCCGAGCAAGGAGTCCCCCACCAGCACAACTCGTCTCCTCTGAAGCTTGGTAAGGGACACTTGATGTACAGATTCTTCCTGGGTCCTCTGGATATTGTCTGCAGGCTGAGACTGCTGCTCTTGCTGCTGTTCCATTTCCTGATTAATAAGGGAGAGAGGTTGGAATCTATTCTGTAGCTTCAAACTCTCTGTAAGGTTCCTGGGCCTTCTACCTCTGTGTGTGACATTCCTCCATGTATCTACACCCTGTATTTGTGAACTGCCTTCCTCCTCAATGATGTTTTCCATGTGTTCTGTATGGAAGAGGATCTTCAGTGCCCCATCCAAGAAATCCTCATGCTCCCTAGTGATCCAAAGATTAGAAACATGGGCCTCCAGCTGCCAGACCTTATCTTCCAAGTGGGCCACCAACTTCCACTTGCTGCATGCGTAGACAGGCACATCCTTTGGCAAGAACACAAACATGCCACGGCTGTTGCAGGTGACTGGAGTGACTCTGTCACTCTCCATATTGAACAATTAGGTCAGTCAATTTTTTTAAAAAAAGAAAGGAAGTCTGATCCTCTCCCTAAAACTCCCCTGCTAAACACCGTGTAAGCACCCCTGTTTGCCTTGCCTGTTTGCCAAGAACCGAGAGCACACAGTCAGAAACAAACGTACTCATAGAAACCTTCAAAAAACCCAAACATCCAGTCGAGGATGGCCTCCCTGACACAGCTCTCCTTCTGCTCCCTCTGCAGGGACTGAGCTTAAAGCTGCTGGAAGCACTTGTATGGAGCTAAGCTGCTCGCTCCACCCCCAGGGGCTCAGGAGAAGCCCCGCCCCCTCAGACCCTGTGCTCAGGGAAACACGTGGTCAGAAACAAACTTACAGAAACCTTTAAACACACACACACACAGTTGAAGATGGCCTCCCAGACACCACTATACAGTGGTGCCTCGCATAACGAGCGCACCGTTTAATGATGAATCCGCATAGCAACGCGTTTTTTGTGATCGCTAATGCGATCACATTGCAATGTTTAGATAGGCTAAACATCGCATTGCGATGATCGGTAAGCGTTTCACTTACTGATCTTAGCATTGCAATGTTTAGAAAACAGCTGATCGGCAGTTCCAAAATGGCCGCCAGATCAGCAAAATGGCCGCCTGCAGCATTTTCGCGCCCTGCCCTCGCTTACTGGGCAGCGAAAATGGCGGCCAGATGGGGGAATCTTCGCTTACCAGTGAGTTCCCCCCCCATAGGAACGCATTAAACAGAGTTTAATGTGTTCCAATGGGTCCCCCCCCGCATAGCGATGAATCCGGATAGCGACGTTAATCCTGGAACGGATTAACATCGCTATGCGGGGCACCACTGTACTTCTGCTCCCTCTGCAGGGACTTTGCCTCAGGTAGCAAAATATCTTAGGTATGCTGACTACCACATTAGAGGCACACTCAACTGGAATTCAGGCTGTAACTCAAGGACAGATATGCTTCCTTACATAGGCAGCCAGAGCTGTTTTAATGTTTTCCCAAGAAAGTTTCATCTTATACTATGTACTGGTATTAATGATTAAAGAGGAAGTTGTCTTTTTAACAAGTTTGAAGTGATAATTTTGCCTTTCAATAATGTAAATTTTATATTTTCACACGTTTCTGCTTTGTGATGTGGTCAAAATATTCAGCTACATTTATAGTTTCAAGGGGTACTAGAAACTGGCTGGAATATTTTCCCAGCTCTTAGATGAATTCTCTTTACATGGCATAGCCATGTACAGTACAAAGATTTCCCATTGCCAACTGGCACAGTAAGATGATCGATTTCCGAAAAAAAAAAAACCAAAACATGTGCACACTCTATTAATTACACAGCAGTGCCACTACTGGGATTAAATGGGATTTCTTAAAGCCTAAAATTGTGAGATGTATGGTAAAACTGTGTTAATCACAGCTGCAAAGGGAGTAAAAGGAAATTTCTAAATCTCCCAGTTGTGGAGGAAAACCTGAATGGAACTGCATAATGCCTCTAAAGGGTTCAAAAGCCAAATTAAAAAAAATACATCAAATGCATTGTTTTGCCTTAAAACATTTAATCTGTTTTTTAAAATCTTGTCTGCTTTCATTATGAATTTTGGACATAAGGATCTAATGATTTTTTTTCATGGGACCAGTCACTTTAGTCTGTTCTGTTCCTGAATGTTCATATTTAAACAGCACAAACACACTGGGTGGGAAACATGGCTATTCCGAACAACTATGTCCCTTCTGCCACTTTACATGCTGTTTTGTCCCAGTTGGGCATTGTCTTACACTGTTTTTGTTTTTGTTTTTGCTGTTAACTGTCTAGCCTTTCTTGTACAGGTTTGCTAGCAACTAATCAGATCTGAGTTTGCGTTGCCGCTTTTGATAGATTAACCTTGGCAGATCTCATTTTGGTCTGGCTCTCTGTGCCTTGTATGTCCTGGTTGCTGCCTGGAGAGCATTTTTTTTTTTATAAAAAAATGCCTTTTAACCTAATCCTATGATTCTTTATCCCTGTTTACTGCCAATCTTGCATTTCCTTCTTCAGTGATGCATTTATAACTCTGTCTAAGCGGGTAGATAAAGCAGACCTCAGAGTTTGAATGGATGCAAGTTTAAATATCTGGCTAAACATAGACTGAAATCCTGTTGTACTGCTACATAGAAGACAAGCAAATTGCCTCAAGTTAAGAAATCTCCATAGACATTATCTGTTGCATTCTGTGTCACGTGACTTGATGTGCAACAGGTAATGTCAACAGAGATTTCTAGGGCTCCACACTACACTTATGTACCCTGTTTCTCCAAACATAAGACCTAACCTGAAAATAAGCCCTAGTCTGATTTTTCAGGATGCTCGTAATATAAGCCCTACCCCAAAAATAAGCCCCAGTTAAGTGAAACCCCACCTTCCACCATTGTGCAGCAACCAGAAGAAGATGACATGACTGTCTTTGAATAAATGTAGATTGTTGTACATGAAACAAATTAAACATCCCCTGAAAATAAGCCCTAAGGCATTTTTGGAGCAAAAATTAATAAAAGACCCTGTCTTACTTTCAGGGAAACACGATATCTATTGACTGCATATCCCAACTTTCTGCCTCCAAATTGCAGGATTCTGGATTGCATGGTGTTTTCACACAGACATCTATACAAAGATAGGTCTCCTTTTTACTGATAATTTTCACCATATATATGAATGCCATGTTAGGGCCTACATAATGTATTTGACATTAAGGGCCTACATAATGTATGTGACATTAAGAGTGGAGCCACATAGCAGCTGTGCTCCCCTTTATGTGTTTGCATCCCCTAATTTCTTAAACACCTGAATCAGACTCCTGTCTCAAGCAATAATGATTAGCAATAATGTGAAAAACAGACTTGGCATACTAAGTTAAAATTTTTCTCATTTATTCCTCCAGTGTATTTACACATGCTGCAGTTTCTCAGCTCCATTTTGCTACCCACCACTTAGTATCTCCATAAGGGATAATAATAATTACTGCGTATCTTACTGGATTGATGGAAGCCTTATTAAATTAATGTGGAAATTTAATCTACCCTTAATTGAGGGTGACAGCTAGTAAGGTCAGTGAAATGTGCTTCTGCGTAACTGTGCATAGGGTTGCACTGTAAATGTTAGATGTTAAGATTATTCTATAGCTGATTTTCATTCAGTTACAAAAATGATTTGGAGACATAACTGCAAGTAGATATGTGAAAACACAGGGCAAATAAAGCATCTGTTCATACATTATATTGTTTTTCCAGTAATTTATCCATAATGAGTGTTGCACTTTACATGAATTTTGGTCTTTCATGCAAGTTAGAATGAGTAGTTGGCAAAAAAAGTGGATAAGGGTTAAAACGGCTAAAGCAGAAATGGAATGGTTAATTTAATTAATATGCATTGAATGATTTCATATTAACTGAATGGTCAGAATTCAAGGAAGGGACAAATTTCCTGATTGCTCCTATACTGCCTGAAGCCTCAGTTTTTTTGTGTTAGCTGCCATTACTAACATTTTGAGTTAGTTTTGGCCCACAAAACAAAGGCGAGCTTTTTAAACAGATATGTCCAAAGGATAGTCTTTGTCAGTGCGTTGATTTGCTTTCCATACATCCTTATCAATGGTCTAGACATAAGAAAACATAGTGAATAGTCTATCATTTTCAAAAAAGCCATTTCCTTCCTTTAACAAAGAGTTTCTCAGTCTATTTTATGAAAGGATGAGAGCAGCATTTCTCTGTGAGGAAGGGAGAAGAGAAAGAGAGATAACAAAGTGATTTTTTTTCTTTCAGTGTCTCTAATCTAATCAGTAGACAAATAAAGTGAATACTGTTGCAGGAAGTATGCAGTAGTTAGAAAAAAAGAGAGTAGTCTAGTAATGTAATATAAAATAATTGGAAAGGCAGGAGAACTATAACAGGTATCTGTGTTTTTTGTAGAAAGCAGAAGCCACTGGAGAAAAACGACCAAGAGGCCGGCCCAGGAAATGGGTAAGTACTGCTGTATTTAAACACATTGCTCTTCTACTACTCAAAACGCAGCAAATGAAAGAAATAAATTATTTCATTTGAGTAGTTGTAATGAAGTTCTATAGTCCATTTAATTTGGCCTCGCCAGTAGTTAGCAAGGTCAGATGTTTGCTGGGGTTCATGAACTGGTGGAGATAGGGAGCACATTGCCATGTAACCAGAGAGCTGATTGCTTGTCTGATAATGTTTCTGTCAGCAAAAATTGAAATGCAGGGAAGAAGAGGAGCACAGAAGCAGACGGCAGTTTCTCCCTTAATTTGCTCATACAATTGGTTATTTGTCCCCTTGGGCCAGGTTGTCTGAATATGTTTTGTGTTTTCTTTGCTGGGGATGCATTTTCCTTTGTGCTGGCCAAGGATGAAGATTGTTCCCTTTACTTGCCTGTGTGGGTGATCCTATTGGTTCTCATTCTTCTGACCCTTTTTTCCCCCCCTGCTATCACCACTACCCAATCTCCTTCCTATTCTTTGCGCCCCTGACCACAACTTGGCGTGGGAATATAGGACTTCTGGGACTCCCAGTTCCAGAATTTGCCCAGAACTGCTTAAGTAGGACTCTGAGAAGGTGAGAGAGAAAACAAAAGGCAAAGGATAGGTTTTCCTACCACCATTCTCTGTTTTATTACATGCATTTTAGCTGGAAAGAAGGCCTGTGGATCCTAGGAAATCCTAGGAACTTTGAGAGGCAAATCCAAATGCCTCTCAAATACCTGAGAGGCATTCCTTTCTTCATCTCAGCCAAAGCACTTGTACAGAAGCATAAAATGATGGTAGGAAGATCTCCCTTTTGCCTTTTGTTTTTCTTCTTTCAGTCCCAGAATTCTGTCTTGACAGGTTGTGGACTAATTCTTGGACAGGGAGTCTTAGAAATCCAAAAATCCCATCCCTACCCATTACCCAACCCTCTCTCCTCTCTAGCTGTGGTAGTCGTGGTAAGGGGAGAGATGTGAGCCCCATGCCAGATCCATAGTGAAGAAGAGGGGCAGTGGTAAATAATAGTGGCTCAGCATACCAGATTCTGGACTTTGTATGGTGGGCTACAAGGTCCTCAGAAAACTGCAGCAGCCTCAAATGAAAACATTAAGAGTGAAGGCATGTGAGTTGTTATCACAACTTCCTACCTTTAGACTCTGGCAGTTTAGTCACTGACAATTTACTACTGTTCATTGAGAGGGAATACATTGTGAGTCTTATTAGCATGAGTGGACCTCACCTCATCTCTTGGGGAAATAATAATAAATAAATAAATAAATAAGAGAAAAAGGTTACACTGAGATAGTTTGTTGGGTAATTCTGTTTCAAAGGTTAAAGGCATGGGATGTTATCAGGCGTTGGAAAATGATTGTGAAAGAGGATAAAATTCGAACAAAGTGTATGCAAAGATAAAGTTAATAAACAAAACTCCTTTGTTTCTCTTACAATGTTCCATCGTCTCTAGGAAACACCGCACCCTAAAGTTGAGAAACTTATACCAAACACCTCAGTGTTTTCTGTTATTTATTTTACCTGAGCCACCTCTGAGAACTTGCTCAGATAGGGTGAGCCCAGCCAAAGTGATTCTGCACCTGCAAGTCACTTTGCACTGTGATGACTCTGTATGTGAGATAAGGTCTGCACCTCTTGTGGACAGCACTCTGACAAAAAGAGAAATCAAAGGACCACATTCAGGCCCTTGGTCACACAAGGGAAATGTTCTCTTGTCCTTCCAATAATTTCCTTACCTCTGTTGTACTGATTCTCAGTCATGTGGTATATATACCCAAGAACTTTTAGCAGTAACAATTTGTTTCCTACTGTTTGAATCATTATGGCCGGCTATACCATGGTACCAGTTGATTTTCTCTTTTGCTTCAATGGTGTATCCAAAGGCCGGTACTGCAGCAATGGGTCAACTTACTCTGTGAAATACTGGTACCAGTTGATTTTCTCTTTTGCTTCAGTGGTGTATCCAAAGGCCGGTACTGTAGCAATGGGTCAACTTACTCTGTGACATACTTTTACCAACGTATTAATGTACTGGCTGCAACAACAACAACAACAACAACAACAACAACAACAACAACAATAATAATAATAATAATAATAATAATAATAATAATAATAATAATAATAATAATAATAAAGTGTGCTGAAATAATGGTGGCACCTTCCTGGCTTCGATTCCGAAAAGAAGCAGAGCAAGTCAGGCACACAGGCAATTCCAGTTGCACTGATACAACAGAAGTACAAAATAACAATCCTCCCAAGGAGTGGAACATAACAATCTTGATTGTGTGATGGAGGGAAAGCAACAATCTAACTGGGGGATAACTAGAGAACATTTCCATCATTTTTCCATGACCTATCAGCTTGCTACTGTCTCCAGATCTTTTACCATCCCCTGCTTCAGCTCCCACTGGTGTTCCACATGGCATTGCAATTCTCCAGTCAAGTGAAAATGTGAATAAAAGACGGTACTGCTGAATTTTTAAGTAGCTGGGTTAACTTTCCACACCTAGAGGACTATGAACGAGACCCACACTTAGGGCTTTGTTGTTGAATCCTAGGTGGTGGAACTCCTTGGTAAGAATGCTAGGCCTATACACTTCCTATTGTCTTTCTGCTGGCTATCGAAACCTTTTTTAAAATTCTAGCGGGCTTTCTGCAATTGACAAACTGCTGAACAAGGGGTTGTTAGCTACTAGATCTTATATTTTTTTTATTGATACATTTTCAAATTACTTTTAATTAGAGATGGGGTATTCATATTCATATACGAATATCCCCACACAGATGCAGATAATGAGGGTCCGGCCCCCTTGGGCCAGACTGACCTCTGACGATTCTGCTGCTGCCATGAGCTCCATGTTCCCTTCCTATCGCTCTATTGCTCACGATAGATTAGCCAGTCCTGGCAGAAGGTGCGATGATGAGCCTCTCTGCCAGGTCGAAGAGTGGCTGATCCATCGTGAGCAATGGAGTGATAGGAAGACACAGCAGAGCTCGTGGCAGCTGTGAAATCGTGAGTGTTCAGTCTGGCCCCATGGGGCTGGACCCTCGCTATCGGCACCTGTGGGGGGATATACGTATTCATATACTGTATGAATACTCCCATCTCTACTGTACTTTTAATTCAGTTGGGTTTTGATATAATAGTAATGGACCGAATGACAAACCAGGATTCAGGGGGGTCTGGGTTTGAATTGCTGCTCGGCCATTTATTTGTTATTTGTTCTATTTCTAGGCTGCCTTTCTCTCAGAGACAGAGAGAACCATGGGAGGGAGGCGTTGTTAAACTACTCCTTAAATATCTCACTTACCTTGTAAACTTTATTAGGATCACTATAAATCAGATGCAACTTAATGTCACATAACAGAACTGTGTTTTAATATGAAAACTGTTTGCATTTTTATTGTATCTTTTTTAAAAACATGTCAGCTGACTCCCAGATTTCAGAGAAAGATGGGATACAAATCAAATCAAATCAATTAATAAGAAGCAATCTCAGAGATTACATTTTACAAGCTCCAGTGATAGGAAGCATAGGTGAGAATGGCATTGCATTTGGGTCCCACCTTTTTTACCCAAAGGAAGAATGGAGATTGTTATTATATGCTGTCAAGTCGCCTATGACTTATGGCAATCCTGTGAATGAATGGCATCCAAAATGTCCCATCCTCAACAGTCCTATTCAGCTCTTGTAAACTCAAGCCTATGGCTTCCTCTACGGAGTTAATCCAAGTTTGGTCTTCCTTCTTTGGAAGGAATTAAAGCAGTTTTTACCAAAAACAATGCATTGTAAATAGAAGTAAAGCAGGCTGAACAAAGTTAAATCCTTTGAGTGAAGAAATTACCTGTGGGAGGAGAAGCCCATTGTATCTTGCAGATATAACTTTTGCTACTACACAGCAAATGCTTCCAGTGCCAAGCGTGTATTTGAAGACTGTTATTAATTCCCACAGATTCTTCTGTACAAAAGCAAACATTCTCTTTCCTTTGGCCTTACTTGTGCCTGCAATTATGCAGAGAAAAGCTAGTGTGAATTAGGCTGCTGTGCAAGGTACATCCCAATTATCCTACAAATTTATAGCAGATAATCATGAAAATTGTTCCACGTATTGCCTAATTGATATGAGTGTTTTCCTCAACATCACTGGTGCTGCAGTTATTTGCATGGGAATGTGTGTAAAATGAATTAGCTCTCTGGTGTAATTGAAAGTGTGACAGTGTTTTCTTATCACAGATATAGCTAGTGCCATATTTTGCAGCTTTAGTCTTAAAATTTGCTATAATACAGAAATAGCAAAAGAGTCTAGTAATAAGGCAATCAAGACAACAAGGAATGAATACCAAAAGACAAAACTTATGAATAAGAAATCTGCATAACAAAGTCTGAAATCCTGCTGCACTGCAATTCCAAACCATAATTTTAGAGGCTGTCTCAAGAAGTCTCTGTGTGCAACAGATTGTGTCCATGGAGATTTCTTAACTTGGGGCAATTCGCTCCTAAAAATTGTGCTTTTTTTATAGCATTGCAACAGAATTTCTTATTTATAAGCAATGTTTTGTCTTGGGAGTTTGTTCTTTTTTGTTTAGATTTAAATCTGTTTTGGGGGGTTGTTCTTTTTTGTCTTGATTTAAATTTATGAGGGTATCCTAGAACAAAAAAGGTGTGTATTAATGTGACCATACAGTTAATAAATAGGTATATATTAGTGCTATTTAAATTTATGTTGACTTTGTGTATGTAGGAACTCTGTCACATACAGTCGTGCCCCGCTTCATGATTACCTCGTTAAACAACGAATCCGCTTTACGATGATTTTTTTGTGATTGCTATTGTGATCGCAAAACGATGTTCCTATGGGCTTTTTTCGTTTGATGACGATTGGTTCCCTGCTTCTGGAACCGCTTGTTTGCTTAACGATGATTTTAAAACAGCTGATTGGTGGGGCACAAAATGGCTGCCCACTGTGCAAAAT